TTTTTTTTTTTTTTTTTTACGTTTATCCAGGTAAAGCGCGCGCGTCGTGTGTGCCGCGCGCTCGCGTCGAGGAGCGCCGTGAAAACCCTCGTTAGTGAGCCCACGCTAATTACCAACGGCTCCGCGGGTTTACACACGGATTTAACGCCCCTCTCATTTCAAAGAGGCCGAAATGTACCGCGGGACCGCTTTCGAATCCTTGAGACGCGCGCCGGGGTCCTTTTCACCCGCGTTACGCACGTTCGCCACGCTTATCCCCGTGTAATCCCCGCGCGAATCGAACGCTTATAGGTCCGATTACATTCTATGAGCCACTGCTACCAGCACGATTGTCCCTTGGAGCTCCGTTTCTTTTAGCCGGAATCATCCAGAGCGATTCTTTCCCATCTTTATCAGAAATCAATTATGATAAACATATTTTGAGGTAGTAAATGCATACAACAGTTTTCTCCATACGATTTTCCAATCACTTGTGATCTCTAAGCCTCGTGAAATGGCTCATCACGGCCTATCACAGATATGTTATTCTTGCAACTCTGCGTTCTTTTAATATAATGTATTTATGATCTCAAGATGGCTCAAAAGTAACTTTGAACCAAAACATAGAATGTAATGTAATTTTTCCATATACTGTATTTGATTTTTTTTTATTAACCTTGCTTTTTTATGTATATTAATCTTGCTTATAAATTTGTGAACTCTTATTTACTTTTACTTTTTATTACAAAAAAAAACGAAATCTTATATAATATTTGTCTGAATAGTTTTAAGCAAATATTTATTAAATGCGTAAATATATATTTATTTGATACACAAACTATTAATTTAATTGAACTATCATTTTTTATTGAGTAATTATTTATTTAGTGCAGCAAATGTTTACTTACAATTAGTATTATTCAAAGAAATATGTTTAATATATAGCTATTGTTTAATATATAGCTATTTTAATTTCTTAGTATACACGATTTTCTGCTCTCTTTTGTCTGAACGACAACGAGTCGTTCATGTCTGAATTAATTTTGTCATTTTTATAAATTATACACACAAAAATTAAGTGTTTCTTATATATACTTTAATATCTTTAGAATATATTTATAAAGTTGTGTATTAAAGAAAAGAAAAGGATAAAGATCATCATTTAATTAGATGTTCCTAGTCTTTCAAAGAACAGAAATGCGCAGAACACGAATGATCCGTGTGTACTAACGATTTATTTGCGTTGCTTATATAAATTTTTGTACTTAGAATCTTCGTCTTTCTGTTTGACGCCTAAATATACATTTATCTCGTTTTAAGTGCAAAAGTTTTTGAGGATTTCAAGCAACGCGAACAAATCTTAAGAGTTAATACACATAATTTATGTGTTCATACACACAAAAATATTCTATTGCTAAGAAAAATGATTACTCAATCTACTTTGTTCCTATTAAGCAACAGTTATCTTTGATAAAGAATGTTTTTTTGATAACAATCTTAAAATTTATTAGGAATTATAATAAAAAAACTTATTATATACTCAAAACAAGAATTTATTTTCTTTTGAAGAATATTATAAAATTGATCAAAGAGAAACGACTTTGTAATAAGCAAATCGAATTTGTTTTAATTTAATAATTTTGATTGAAATATTAAACTTACTAGAATTTTCAGGACATATTTTGAATAAGTTTAATACTTGTGATGAACTTATGATAAATTTGCGAATATACGAACTTTTGAAATACTTGAAACAATTATTACTTTTACGTACATATATTATATATTTTTCTGTATACCAATCTGATATTATTTACGTATAATCAGTACCGTTACACCCGATCTATGCCTTCGTACCTTAATAAATTGGATTGCCCCGACAGTATTTTAAAATGCATAATAAGCACTGCCTGTCTTTTTATCCACCTAACGATTCCCAACAGAAAATAATCTCGTATACCGTATGCCGGCCGTTCTTCACGCCTCACGGCCGTCCGCTCAGGGCGGCCGCGCGCGAGTCCTTAAAGAATCCTCGATTAAGGGTAAAAAGAAAAACAGGGTGGGGAAGAAGGGGGAAACGGAGGCCCAGGATATCTCTCCCGACGCGGCAATCACGTCAGTCACGTCGATCTCTGGCTCTGGATGGGGCAAAAGTTTTATGAAGTCATCTTCTCGGAAAGAAAGGGATACGTCCATTCCTACCCGTCACACGTCGGCAGCCACGGTGTTATTTTAAGGCCGGTTTTAAACGCTCTGCGCTCGCCAGAATGACCCGGGGGTAGCCCGCGCGGAGCAGAACCCGATACGGATACGTTTGTGTGTGCGTGTGTATGTATATACCAATGCCCCGTCGCCTCTGGTTATTTTCTTCTGCAAGTCACCAGATTATCCGTCAGAATGCTCGACCGGGTAAGTGGATAGAGAGGAAGGAAGAAGAGAGAAAATCCTTCCAGCCGTTGAATTTAGCTTTTATTTCTATCGAACAATTTGAAAAATCCGTCATTGGCGTACTCCAGTAAGCAAAGAGCATTTAAAAAGTTTAAAACGATCCATGAATATTGCAGCAACGTGTTATTTTAAGATCATTTTTTGTCTTTTATATATTCATATTATATAAATACATATTTTTACATCAACATTTGTGTACGAATGCGTCCAATCAAATTCACTGTATAGGAAAGGTTTCTTGTAAGCATATAATATATTGACGAGAAATCTCCATAATATATTTAGAATTTTAAATACGTTCACGTAAATTTGTAGAGGTGTATCGTTTCCAATGAAGATAATGTCTTCGAATTGCAGGGGCTCCGGCGACAAAAGAGCGGCCCACGTCAAGAGGCCCATGAATGCGTTTATGGTGTGGGCCCAGGCTGCGAGGCGAAAACTGGCCGATCAGTATCCCCAGCTTCACAACGCCGAGCTGTCGAAAACACTAGGAAAGTTATGGCGGTGAGTGTGGCACTTTCTTTGTGCTCGCGTCAATATTTTGAACTGTCAGGCGGAACGGTAGCGTAAATCACTATAACGTGACAAATCCTAGAAGAGGCACGGCATTTATAATTATTTTAGATTAGCGTAAAATCTTACTTTACAGTCTACGTTATAATCTACGCATTTAACAGTTATTTAAAATGTGTTATATTTTTTTTCTAAAATTATTTAATTTTACAGAGAAAAAACGATTTTGTAAAAATCGATTTTTGTTTGCATATTTGAGGATCCTATATTTTGATGGTCCAACGAAATTATTTTCAGATTGGTATCTAACTAAATTTTTAGATACTTTAGCAAAACTGTTTTTCTATAGGGGTTTTCAAACTTCACACATTTTTGTACGTTACTTTACAGTCTATACTGTATAACAATTTGAAAAGAATTCTTACATATTTGTGAAAGCTTTAATCTTCCTACCATAATAGAAATTAGATTGTATTTTATTTATTATTTACAGATTTAAATTTGTCCAAATTTATACTTAAAAAATCGACTTTGCCTTTAAACTTCATTAGTGATGGAGTATTTATTATACATAACTTTTTGCGCTTTATGCTCCTCTTTTTTGCCTTTGTTAAAATGCTTTAGCTCCAAATCCGATAAAATTTAACTAAATTTTTGCCTCAATTTTTCTTCTCGATTCAATTTTATTTTGATCGTATAAAAGTCGCGCAGTTGAGGGTTGAGGATCAAACGTAGTAAGTGCGCACCCAAGTGTTCTGCAGCCGACGAATAAAGCTTCAGCGGTCTCCTTGCCCGACGGAAAGACACTGTTTCGATAAAATTAATCGGCACCACGTGTCTTCAATCGGATGCCTCTCCGTTCTCTCGATCTGATAAGCTCGATTCTCTCACAGATGCGAGCTCGCCAGGCGGCGGCCAGCCATGCGAGAGAATCGCGCTTGCTGATCTTCATTCGTGCTCGTCTTGTTCGAAGAAAATCGGATCGTGAGCCGAAAGCATGGAAATGTGCTGCTGATCATTTCAGCTGTTGTCAATTCGAAGCCACCTGTGTTTAATGCGATTTTAAACTTGTGCATTGAATTTGTGCACAGAAACAAAATGAAATTATGTCGATAAAAGAGAGACTGGCGATTATAATTTAATCCTTTACCTGCAATCATACTTTTACTCCCTCCGTTTATATAGCCTAAAATTTTTTTACTATTCTAGATTTTCAAAAAATATGGAAAAATTCAAGATTACGTTTAACATTTCTAATCCATTAATATGTAAACAGTTTTTTTTAATACGATGTTTTAGGAAGGGGGATTAGAATGCGCCATTCTTTATTACGAAGAAATTTAAAAATGAAATTTTGTGTAAACGAAGAATTAATTATATCAATATTAATCGTATTATTATTAATTTATAACGTGTAACAAAAAATTCAATTGTTAATTTATGCTGTTGAAACTTGGAAGTATTTTTACACATTTCTGGTACTTAAATATTCAACACTGTGAGTTTAACTATCAAAAATTGAAGTAAAAAAAAGTAGTCATTGAAAAAGAAATAAAGATAATGCTTTAATTGTTTTGTGATCGTGTTTGATGTCATTTGCGTAAGGCACAGTGTAAGATTTCGATCAAAATTGCTGGGTCGGAAAGCGAGTTATAACATCGTTCAACGAAGATTGTGCGACAAACACAAAAGTTTAGAGAGTCACTGCGTTCCAATTCTCGCAACCACTTGTTTGTACGTAACCAGTTCTATTTTTATCAACGAATTCGCGAATGCTTCTTTTTTTTTTTGGTGTCAGCAATACGTATACGTACATATGTAATATACATATTAACACACTCGTACCACGTGGCGCTTCGACTGCACGTGGTACAAGTGTTCCTGCTTCTCGAGACCTGTGAACTCGGGTCGCATATGTAACAGCGGCGAACACACTTTGCGTGACGTCGCCGACCCTCTTTACAACCAGCCAAATTCCTTTAACGTTCGCTTCCCCGTCAAGGCGATTTCATTTGTAGAAAGTCTTTTTCTCTTCTCAAAATAGATTTAACTCTTGATTACATACTGAAAAAAGTGGTTGAAAATGGACGGACCAGAAGACTTCATGATTACATTAATCAAAATTTCGATTATCAACTAGTATTTAGTCAACTAGTATTTATAGTAGATTTAACCAGAAAATTCTGTCAATAAGAATTTCAATTAATTCAACCATTTTTTCCAGTGCAGAAATGGTCTATTCATTTGAACCTGAAGCGAAAATTTTTGGATAATTATATGCACAATGTATGTACTGTGAGATTTTTAATTGTAAGTAAAAATAACTTTGATCGCCTTCCTCTCTATCAATCATTGTGAGGCGAAAATCACTTGAACTTTGAGTAGGACATTTAGAACTTGGGTGTTGTTTTCATAGCTATACAATTAATTTATGTAAAAGATTGGCTTACCAGTGCTCTTTTGATATCTAATGATGTACAGTTGAAAATTAATTGCTTTCTTTTACTATCATGTAAGTACGAAAGTAAGTAATAGAAATCAGGGAAATAAAATGTTTAGATTCATTTCCATTGAAATCGATCGACTTAGTCGACTTTACTTGGAAGCTGGGAATCTTTACATTTAAGGTAAAACGCATAAAACATACGCGAAACGCACGCATACGCAATTTTTTATACACTCTGTATATACGGGCTCCGAGATGACTCGTGGACGATTCTGTTTCCTGGTTGGGACTAACGAGGTGCCCCAGTGGGCCATATAAATGATCATCAGAGGACGCGCCGACAAGAACCCCCGTTGCGAATCATTTAATAACACTGGCCGCGATCGCGATCGCGATCGCTCGCCAAAGATCGACGATCGATATCCTCGACGATTGTCACGGGCGGCGTAGCTTTCGCCGAAAGATAAGACGCCGCACACGGCATTAAAGATTAATCTTTTTTTTCTAACACCATATTGGGACTTATTAGCGATCTATAATATTAGTCTGTAAACACGCATCGATGGAATCAAATGACATTCGCTATTTACTGCTATCTACTTTCATAAGTAGACCTTATATGGGAAGGAGAAAGAACATATCTCGGAGACGAAATTAAAGATTTAGATACTAAAATCAATATGTTTCCGATTGCTTGCACAATTCGAAAGAAACAAAAGTCGTCCTTGGGACGTTACGTTGACCTACGGTTTTCGGCTCTTAAAAAGTCATTATTTAGCACCTTTTCGGTATGGACCTAGTGGCAATTAACACGTTCTCGTTCGAGAGGTATTTTTCGTGACTGTGCCAAGGTCCTGTAATACGCGCGAATAAACTAGACAAATCTTTGAGCATTTGCGTTGCATGCAAAGAATCGAATTTGCGCGAAATTGCGTCGATTGAGAGACGTCGTCGCGCACCACTCTGACGTTTTGATTCCACCCTCACGCAGAAATAAATGATACAGTCATCTTCGGTAATGAACACAGTGCGCTAGAGCGATTGCGCTACGCGGTCAGAGTTGCTTGCCAACTGATGGAACCGATAAAACGGCGAAGTTCAACGACGATCATGCTTGTAGAGATCGGTGTATGTACAGATCGCAACATCGATGGGGCGCGATGGTTCACGAAATGACAAGTGGATAAAGGAGATATCGTTACACTTGAATTATAATGATGTTTACGACCTTATACATGCAAAAAGTAAAACAATTAATATATATATGCAGTTAACAAAGATATAAACTCTGGAAAAATATAAAATTGAAAAGACAAAGAAGGAGAGAGAGGGAGTATAATCTCTGTAAACAGAAATTGAAGCGAGACTACAAGGATGGTAAAAATCGTATAATGTTATAAAATAGAAATTTATTTTTTCAGTCTATTTGCCAAGAAGAGATTTGATTTAACATTTCTTTTCACACATCTATCTTATGATTAATAGTTAACTGTGAAATCCTACATAGGTATTGCTATCATTTAAATCTAAATCTACTTTTATTTTTCTTACTTTTCTTATCTTAATATTTTAAATATTGTAATTTTTCTTTTTCTACATTTTATTGCACTAATTTACATTAATATTAAGAATACCTAATTATTGCACAATTTTCACGCAAATCCTATAATCTATTTTCCTTATCTTTGTGTACTTTTCCTATTAACTAATTTTCTATATTTATCTTATGTTTATCTATTCTATATTTATTACCTTGACACTAGAAAAATACCGAATAGTTATTATTGACTATTTTGTATTTTTATATTAACATTTCTTGTATAAAAGATAGGATATTGAATTTTTGTAGCTTTGTAGTATAATTATGTACTAATATGAAATATTTAATTTTTATCACTTTTTTACTTTCATAGTAATTTATTTGCTTGAAAAATTTTCGGAATCCTATCTTTTATATATTATATATATATATATATATAAGAAATACTAATAATATACTATAAAAATAGAAACGGTCAAAAATAATCACTTGGTACTTCTAATGTTATGACTATTCTTCTTTCTTTTCGCAGAATTTTATAATTTACATAACGAGAATGTAATGAAGATCTAAAACTGCGATATAAAATTCTCTTTAACACAAAAATTGTAATCGCAGCTACGTCAATCGACACGTCGAATCTTGTTGGACTTTGACGTCGACTTGTCTCACGTCAATTCTGATAAGAGGGCCAGGTGCCCGTATCTGAAAATAAATCTTTTTTCGTATTCTGTCCTTCTACCTCTTCTCTCTCTCTCTCTCTCTCTCTCTCTCTCTCTCTCTCTCTCTCTCTCTCTCTCTCTCATCTCTCTCTCTCTTTCGTCGTCTCGAAACGTATCGCCATTCGGATACTCCAAACGCGATGTGTTTGTCGACAAAAGGAAAACAGATATCGCCGGTTCATCCTTGGCGCGTGCTCGCAGCTGCCGGCCGGTTCCTGCTGGAGATAAAGAGGCCCCCGGGGACCACAATAGGCGCCTTGTGCCCGTCAGGTGAATTTTTCCG